ACTTTTTTGACTTATTTATCTGTTTTTGTAATTTTCTCTATCTTTTACTTTGTCTTTTTTTCTGTTGTATTTTACTATTGTCTTTATTACCTAGATTCGGTTGTTGAGATTTCGGTATTTCTTTAGAAAAACAATAATTTAATATGTGCAGAAAATGAGCTATTTTTGACAACCTGTACTTAATAATTTCATATATCGTTTTCAACAAATATGATATTCGTTTGAATAAATTTTTGTTCCCATATATGTTGCTAATTGATGCTAATATAAATGATAAACCTAATTCTGATTTTTATGACTTATGTAATATAGATAAGATAGCATAGTTCACCGACTTAAACTAGTTCACACTTAAACAGTTCTTACCCAAGTGATCGATGACATAAATAGTTTCTTGACCACCGCTATATCTTTCGTATCCCAGCCAGTATTAGGCGAAAAGCCCCATCGTCTTTGGATATAGCAGATTTAGTGTGGTTGATAAATTAGTACATTCTTCATTAATTTCGCTTATAAGTTCTTGTAGGCGGTATGTGTTATTGACTCATTTGGTCAGCTGTCAGAAATTTGGGACAGAGAAATGATCGAGGCAAAATATTTTTTTAAACCTCTACACGTATTTAAATTATCACCTTTAGAACTACACTCTTCTTGAAAAATTGGAAGTTTAGATCTATTTTATACCTTTTTCAATAAATCTAATGATCCAATAAAAAAGCAGGTACACAGTGACGCAATACCGATTTCATTTTATGAACTACTTGGATGTTTGCTTTTTCTTTATATTGTATACAAGAACTCTATCTATTAAATGAAAGATAAGACGTATGTCGTCGTATATTTATTAATTTACAGTAATTTAATTGTTTCAGTTTGGAACCCACTTTTATTTTAATCGTATTTTGATTTGTGAAAAACGTTTGAAAACAACGTTTCGATTATTTTCAAGTTTACCTTTTTTAAATTGCTTTTACCAATAAAATAGCCGCAACTTCTTCAGTCTTACGACCGGGCAGCTTTATCCAGAAAGCATTGTTCAATATACTTGATATTTCTTTATTATTTTTTGGAAATAAGCAAATAATGTGACATGAAAGTAAAAATAATAATAAAATACTCTCCTGCTTTTGTGCATCGATAAAGCTTGATTTGCAAAACACCTTAAGATAAGCATCTATCTAAATGTATGCAGATAGTGTTAGGTTGTTTTAGGCATTTGACAACTGATTATTAGAACTAACCCGACGTACACAAATAGAAGTTTTACCGTTTTTTACTGTAAATGTGTGTGAATAAACGAAAACTGTTTTATGCATAATCATAAAGGTAGAGGAAGATAAACTTTATGTGTGTTTAAAAGGTAAAATTACGAGAAATCAGTGGTGGTAAAATTCGAAGATGTCGTCATTAAACCCACACTTGTAGTTAGATGTCAGGTCTATTTTCACTCATAACACGTAAGTAAGCTTTAGCGCTGAAGGCGGTGTATGTAGACAAACGATAAAACTCAACGACCAGAATCAAATTTAAAGAAAATATACATATAGCATTAAACTTGACATTCATTCAACAGTGGTAAAACAGACACCTCCTAATCCCTAAATGAATCACATTACGGTTTATTCGTTGAAACTCGATAATAGCTTGACGTCCTTATTATTCAGTGACTATTGAAGGTTATAGTGATACAACGTCCACAGTAGATAGAATAGTTTCTTCCAAGTGTTCTGATACCTCCGTATCCAGACTTAGTAGGAATATTCATGAACTTTTAATGTAGACACGAACGTAAGCTAGGAATGATTATTAAAGTTAAAACCCATTCTCTGTCTCACTGAGGCCCAGTATAGAATTCTGGGATCTTGGCAGAAATGTTATTATGAGTTTATCAATAATTTGCTTATGATCCAATAAAACAATATGCAATCACACAAGATGAAGGTCATTTTGACGAAAACTTGACCACATAAATACTTTTCCTCATATAGAGATTTAAAGAATTTTCAGAATTAATCTCGCCTAAGCTGTTGGAGTGATGCTTTCAGGTATAACCGATTTCCTGACAAGTATCAGATAGGCAAACCCACGAAAAACAGTAGATTCGATCTGGAAATATCGGGATTGTTCTGTCTTTGATAATTTCAAAGAATTTTAAGTTGCGTGAGAAATAGGTAGATTTGACATATTCAAAGGAGAGTGAAAACAATATTTATCTAGATACAGAATAAAATATAATGTGAGTACTTGCATAGACAGGTGGACAAGGCTATCACTGGATCAATGAATAGTTCGCCAGCGATCCGTTTCTTAAGATGAATCTCTACAGAACTAGTTACGATGAAAGCCAAATAGAATGTGTATCTGGATTCTGAACATTTCTTTGCTTTCTATGTTCAGCGTATGGCGTCACTCCGTGACCTCTTTTTTCCTGATGATGTTGGCCAGCTATCAGTTTTAGTTGACCTTATAATCCTTGAGGTGCCTATTACAAGATGATAGTCATTATAAAAAGGTTGGAGAGACGGGGTAGCTATGACATGATACGTTATAATTTGATATACGGGAAACAGGTAGAAAGTCAGGAAGAGGCCGGTTCGGCGTGGGTTTAAGAAAGAAATATAAAAGCATGAATTGAACCAAAAAAAAAGACCAGGAAATGTAATTTAGAACGAATAAACCAAGAAAGACGAAAGAAGAAAGTAATGAAAAGCCTATTTTTAAATCTGTGTTTTTTTGTAGTTAAGCACAAAACTACACAATGGGCTATATGTATTGTGCTCACCACAGGTACCGAAAACCGGTTTCTAACGTTATAAGTCTGCAGACATACCACTGTGCCACTCAATCTTTGTATAATTGATCACTAGTAATAAACAGCAGTTTTTTATATAAAAAAGAAAAAAACGGTAGATGTGAGAAAAAATTAAGAAACCGACAAACTGGAAGGAAGAAAGTAATATACTGCCAGTAAGAAACAAAAACTATTTCTAAATCTATGTGTTATTGCTCACCAGTAATCACTAGAAATTTGTTATGTTTACCTTGATATGAATCCATTCCATGAATAAGTGTAATATAAATAAAGTTGACGGACATGAAGAATGAAGTAACACGATTGTAACAACAGGGTGTTCCTTGCGTAACATACAAAGTAGGAAGGGAAATTCATTATGTTAGAAAAACACGTAGATTCAAGAAATCAGTTTAACACAAAAACACGATACCTATAACCCAAATGGTGGCCTGCATTATGTTACTAAAACTACTTTATCTGACATTTTACTTTACATAGCCAATACTACGGTTTTTAAAACTTATATTTATTTAACTTTACTATATGATGATAATATTTTATGAGATAATGCATCTCTTTACCGCCTAATTAAGAAAAACTGATTAAATAAAATTGGTTAAGTTAAACAGCCAGGAATTTTTTTATGTCATTTATCATCTCACGAATGCCGAAAGTGCCATGCTACATATTGATTTTATACATTGATAAAGTAATTTAGCTTCCTCAGTTCAGTTTACTACTCTGTCCTTCACTGTTGTACACTTATAATTGGCGTACTTTTAGTTCTATGAACCAGTCATGAGAAGAAAAAGATAAGAAAAGCCTTTTACTCTAACAGAACTGATAACACACTCCGTCAACCTATCATTGAGGTACAAAAACGCGTACATGGTCCTCTTGAAAACATTAAAGTAGATAAAGCACCAGCGTTCCAGTAAGGAAACCTAGAATCGAATCTTGTTCACTAACGACATAGACATAATTCTTCACTGGACTCCCTTGAAGACGGCAGCCGAAACGTAGAATAAAAACAACAAGTTAGTAATTAGTTATTTACTAATAGTTTTGAAGATCTATCTAGTTATAAAAACATTAGTTACCGATTAATGATTAATACTGACGAAATAGGTTACAAACCATGGATATTAAAAAATTAAAATTCAAGGAACTTGCATATATATATTTAAAATATTAAATTCACAAACGAATATTTTATAATACACAATTAAAATCTTAATTTAACCGATGAATATTTGTAAAAGTCACTCTACGTGTTTCAACGTGGTATCACGTCATCTTCAGAGGTGTGAAAAACAGTTACTGTGTACTATATAAGCACAACCGCCATGGTCATGTGACTACCGTTTACAATTCAAAAAATGAAGATCGCGCCATTTACATACTTTCTGATTTTCTAACCTTTGTTCGTTTGTGAATTTAATATTTTACTAACCATGGAAACGATCTTACGCTCTGAGTTTTTACTATTATTTTCTCTTTCTATCTAAGATCCACATTTGTCATTTTTAGGAATTTAAACCTTCTAAAGAAAAAATAGCAATATCCATAACTTCATTTTTTATTAAACTGCGTGAAACAAGAAAGAAAAAACTTAGTAACAAAAACATAACAGGTTGCCCCCAGTAGCACAGCTGTATGTCTGCGGACTTACAACGCTACAAACCGGTTTTCGATACCAGTGGTGGGCAGAGCACAGATAGCCCATTGTGTAGCTCTGTGCTTAACTACAAACAAACAAACATGACTTGTGGAAATAACGGACTTTCATATCCAACACTTTAAATGATCGTGAGTTTTGATTTTTATGTGTAATGTCTGTTAGAAACCCAAAACAGTTTTTATACACAATTTAATTAAACTGTAAAAAGAAGAGAATATATGCCAAAAAGAACACGAACATAGCATAATAGCTTTATGAAAATACGAACATAGCGTAATAGCTTTATGAAAATACAATATATATACCTTTGGGCGTATATATCTAAAATTAAAGACTTCAGGGATGATTGTTTGCCGGGCTACACGAGGGCTATCTGCGCTAGCCGTCCCTAATTTAGCAGTGTAAGACTAGAGGAAAGGCAGCTAGTCTTCACCACCCACCGCCAACTCTTGGGCTACTCTTTTTCCAACGAATAGTGGGATTGACTGTCACATTATAACGCACCCATTATTGAATTGGCGAGCATATCTGGTTGAACGATGATTCCAACCGAAACCCTCAGATTGTGAGTCGAGCGCCCTAACCACCTGGCCATGAATGACTAAGAATTTATGTTTGAATTTTTTCTTTCTTCAAGCAAAACTAATGTAATGATAAAAATTTAACAAAACGAGAAGAATTACTCAAGAATGCTATTTATGTATACACACACATACACATAAAACACACACACATATATATGCATGTATATATCGTATAACACTCTTGAATGTTTTTTATAGTTTTGTTAAATCTTCAACAATACATTATTCTAGCTTAGCGATAAATTTCAAAAATTTTTTCACAGTTACTAATCTTTAGAGGCTTTCATTCTAGTTAGATTATATGTTTCAAGAACTACAAGGTTTATTTATTCAAATATTGCTAATGCTAGAAAATCAGTTTACAGATGGAATATGCCTTGATTACCGATATATCTTGTATTTTATCTATTTTGGATAATTTATGTATTAATTTACAACTATCATTCTGAAATATTGTAATTTAAGAAAGAAAAATATGTTCATGATGTTACATTTTTGTTGGTACAGGACTTAAATCGTCCTAACTTTCATAAAAATTGTAATTTATACTATAAGTTATGTCGAAATGGTCACGTGCTACACAGTAGCATAACTTGCACTTACTTCTGGGTAGAAATGTGCAGAAAATTGGTTTCCAGAACAAGTGTTCACCAGTCTAATATGCTTATTAGAAACGTGCTTATGCAGTTAATAGTTCCTCAACATTTCTTAGAAATATTTAAGTAAGATATTCGATTCCAAGTAACCTGTTAATAAGCCTAACTTTGTATCACAGTTTGTATTGGTAATTGTATCAAGGTAATAATCAGTTTGTTTTAACTAATTCAATTTCAGATTCGATTAAAGACTGAGTTTTCAAGATGGAGAACGAGGGAATGCAACAATTGATTTACACTATGAACAAACTGCAGGATGCTGTATCCGCAGCTGGAGTTGAGCTTGAGGTTGACCTACCTCAGATAGCTGTCGTCGGAGAGCAAAGTGCTGGGAAAAGTAGTGTCCTGGAAAATTTTATTGGAAAGTGGGGAGTAGTTAATATTTGGTTCTTAAAGATAGTTAGCTATTTTATAATTTCTAAACAAAAAGACAGTGTTAACTTAAGATATCAGTACCATTTCGTTGATGTAATATAGTGAAAACATGATGACATCAATGATATATATATATATATATATTGATATAACGAAATGAAACTGTTGTTATGGCTATGAAAACCTTCTCTGAATTGGCAAGGCAAAGCAAAATTCATGAACAATTTATATTAGGCTAATAATATTTTTTAACGTTTACTGTAACAAATGGTTTATATAGATAGTGATTCTGATCACTAACATCTTTGTTGCGTCCCCCTGGTGATCTCTATATTGAGCGAAATGCTTTTTCGACAGTTTATATGACAGACACAGTGTGGTTGCAATACTATTGTACACTCTTTTAAAAAACAAACAAAGGAACTAAGTAAAGAAAGGAATGTTAAAAATATAGTAAACCTAATGGTAATGTCTCATGAGAAATAAAATTGTATGTATAGAAGACGGCGATAGAATAGGTAGTTAATGAGTTAACCAGTATGGGAAAATAGATAAACAATATTTTTTCTTCCAAAAACGTTGAAATTTGAATTTAATTCGTCATATAATAAGTATTTATGTCTTAAGGGAAAGAAAATATGCAAAGAAAAACACATAAACAACATCCACTGTTGATGTAGTGCGTCGATTCATTCCCAGTTTAAATCTTAACTATGTTTAGTTACACACTATATGTAAGCCTATTTTTATATCGAAATATATATGCATATGTATTTTTGATACAAAATGATAGCTTTGTTATCATTTATAGTTATTTGATTATTGTTTGAATCACAATAAAATGTTTTATTCGAATACTAAACTTATACAGACGTATTAAATATATTGTTGAAGATAATACGTTGTCTTGTTTAGTACACTTAAACAGATCATTTCTACAACACGTTTTGTGTTTTTATGTGTATCAATAAACTTATTTCAAGCCTAGTTATAAATTAAAAGTTATTTTTCATTGACATAATTCGTGTATATTTGATGTAATTCATGTTTAAGTCTTTGTGATATCTGACAGAAATAAAAATGTGCAGAAATATCAATTCCTGTCAACAGTGCCGTGTAAATCTAGATGTCTAGACTTATGCGTAAATTTGGCATAATTTGTAATATGGCAATATGAATGTAAGTGTAGAGCTATTTTGGTAGGAGAGATATGTATTACATTTTTACACTGGCCCGTCATGGCCAGGTGGTTAGGGTGCTCAACTCGCAATCTGTGGGTCGCGGGTTCGAATCCCCGTCACACCAAACATGCTCGCCCTTTCAGCCGTGGGGGCGTTATAATGTGACGGTCAGGTCCCACTATTCGTTGGTAAAAGAGTAGCCCAAGAGTTGGCGGTGGGTGGTGATGACTAGCTGCCTTCCCTCTAGTCTTACACTGCTAAATTAGGGACGGCTAGCGTAGATAGCCCTCGTGTAGCTTTGCGCGAAATTCATAACAAACAAACAAATAAATAAACAAATTGTTACACGAAAACCTTGTGAAATGTCTGGTGCACACCCTATCACCAGTTTCATGTAACTTTTACAGCGATAGTTACTCAGACTAAAATCTGTTTTAAAACTTAACTCCTTCCTGAAATACTTTATTGATTCTATTATAAATATACATCTGCTCAGGTCACTGAAGTATGACGTCCCCAAGCTACAGCTAATGATCTCTCTACCGTACACAGACTCACACTCAGGAATCTCGAAGAAGAAACTGAACGCCATAATCAACAGAGTATATAAATATGTTCACTTTCAATTTCTGTTCACACCTTTATTGAGAATTCAGAATTTTTTTCAGGTTTAAAGATCGTATCCAGTTTTCGCAACAGTTATTTATAAATTCTGCTGTCCAACGTGTGGGGGCGCTTACATCGGATCGACTGTTAGAAGACTAGGAAATCGTTTGAAGGTATAGTCTAACCCTAGGCTTAAGGACAGTTCAAACATTGTTTGGTATACATTGAGTGTATGTGATGTGGTCCCAAACCTCAGTATGTTAAAAGTAATCGATAAAGCCGAAAACAAGACTATACTATGGGTGAAGGATACGCTTCTAAGATTAAGAGAAAGGTAAAAAGAAGAACAGTCGCATTTGGTTGCAGATGGAGATTCGGATGGCAAGTTTAGTAACTAAATTTTTGTTCACAGCGAATTCCCGACAATGTGATAGCGCAATGCCATCAAGTTAGATATAAGGTTAGACTATGGTAACGAAGGAGAACCCTCCGACTCAATCTACAGCAACGTCATCATCCTCAGTGAAAAGACTATGGTAACGAATGAGAACCCTCCGACCCAACAAGATATAATGATGATGCTCGCCAGGAATCCTGGTCTTGCTAACAAGATATTAAACAAGGAGTTGAAGTTGACAATTTTCACAATATTTCTGCCACATCTTCAAATAAAGAACTGTTTTCATGAGAAAGACGGCAATATCATTCGAAAACATATCTTCAAGGACCCCGACATCAGTACAATGGACACATTGTCTACAAGGAAGCTAACGACTTTATACAGTAGAAGATCTGTGGATAGTTTGTCTGGATGTGAGATCTGAGATAGATTTTGTTTGATTGTTTGAAGTTAAGCACAAAGCTACACAATGGGCTATCTGTGCTCTTCTCACCACTGGTATCAAAATCCGGTTTCTTGCGTTGTAAGTCCGCAGACACACCGCTGTGCCACTGGGGGGACTCTGAGATAGATCTCGCCATTCTTGGCAAAAGCTTGTCCCAATAAACGTGCGTAATCATGGTCTAAGATAGATGAAGCAGTTCCCGGGTTAGTACGATTAACGCTCAGTAACCGATGTTTAATGACTACTGGCGCGAGAGTAACGATATTAATCCACTAAGTTTCTTTAATTTTGATAGAGTATCGCGAATAAAATAAAAGGTCGTCGAGTTAGCGATGTATTAACGTTAATCAAGGTGTGACTTATTTTGTTCATTCCAAATAAAGAACAATATTCGAATATAAACCAAACAATGTTTTCAATATTGGTCTGTTTACATACCACTCCCCCTAGTGGCTCAGTGGTAAGTTTGAAAGATTATAAAAATCGGCTTTCATTACCCGTGGTGAGCACAGCACAGATAAGCAGGCCATTGTGGGCATTGTATAGCTGTATTTGGATACAAACAGTTTAAATACACAAATAAACAAATGAGAGTTATAAACCTGTTTACTAAAGATTAGATTTTTATTATATTCTGATTTAAAATTTTAACTGTCATCACATAAAACTACATGTTACTATAGACAACGACTCTATGTGTAATAACAAACTACGTGTTACTATAGACACGACTTTACGAGTAATAACAAACTTCATGTTACCATAGACACAATTCTACGTGTAATAATAAACTTCATGTTACCATAGACACAATTCTACGTGTAATAATAAACTTTATGTTACCATAGATACAATTCTACGTGTAATGATTAACTTTATGTTACCATAGATACAATTCCTCGTGTAATAATAACCTGCATGTTACTATAGAAAGACTTTACCCGTGATCTTCCATTAAACAAATTACCTGCTTGTTTTTATTCTTAGGAAATAAATTAACTGTTTTATGTAGATTCTCATGTAACGTCTTACTGTTCTGTGTAAGTTATTAGGTCTAGAAACTGTTTATAGACATGTGCAGTTTATCATTATCAGTAACACATTATATAATTAGATAACTTATGCGACATCACGCGGTATTCTTTTGTACAGGGTCGTACTGTGTAAATAAATGACGATATATACTTTTGTACCTACCTTCTTTCATGTCTTCCTCCGCTGGATGCTTCTGTCACCATGGTTTCTCCACTACTCCAAGTCTGATTTTGTTCATTTAGCGACGCACTGGAACTCATTTTGGATGTCAGTTTTTTCAGCACGTCGTCCATCTTCTTCTTTCCGGTGTACCCACCAAAGGGTTTACAGTTTTCCCTCACGTGCATGTTATTCAATATTTCAAGCGGAAGTTTGGTTTCAGTTGTACCTTCTTCGGTTCCGCTGTATTCATCCTCGGAGTCGCACTCCGAGTCTGTGGCAGACACTGAGCGAGTACACGAAACACTCTGTAGCAGTCTGTGCTTACGCTTGTGCAGAAGGGTGGTAGCGGCTTCACTAGCCAAGCTGTCACGGGAATCGATGTCGCCCTTCCGGTGTCGTGAAACGCTTAGTTCGCTAACTACGTAGCTCTCCGGCGTACCCATTTCTTCAATGGGGCTGAGTCTGACGTTGAGACTCCCGTTTCTCTGTTCTAATTTCGTCCCATCACACGAGTCCTTAAGAGATTCGTCGTCAGATTTCGTACACTTGTCATCGAAGTCGTTCTCATTCTCAACGTGTTGGTTGTTGTGGTCAGTGGGGAACTTCGTCGGGGGACTCTTCCGCTTAGAGGACATACTCCTGTAAAGTTAAAATACATATTGATGCCCTCTACTTTATACCAGTATAACTGAAATGTTATAAGTTGTATATTTGTTAATCTTTTACATATATTCAAAAGTATATTTGAATGGCAGTGTTAAACTCAATTTTTTAGTTTTTACATTAAAATCACAGATTTACAGTTTTTACATTAAAGTTAGAATTTTACAGTTTTTACATTTACTCAGTTTTACAACTTTTACATTATAAACTCACAGTTTACAGTTTTACATTTAACTCACAGTTTAGAGCTTTTATATTAAAACTACAGTTTTACAGTTTTTACACTCACAGTGTTTACATTAAAACTATAGTTTTACACTCACAGTGTTTATATTAAAACTACAGTTTTACACTCACAAAATGTGTCAAGAAGCTAACGACTCTTAATGTTGTTCATTAATATTGTCAGTTTCCTTTTTCCCCAAAAATTAATGCCAAAGGTAAACATGCCAGATACTTTTGGTATTTTTAATAAACTTGTGGGTCTATAAGGACTGCGTAAGACTTATGGAGTAATAATTCCCATATGGCCTCTTGCCAATGTTCGAGAAACTATAGGTAATAAGGAAGCGACTGCTTTCAAAATAAGGCAAACTGGTATATCATTCACTCAAAAGAAGAAAATATTTGATGCGAACATAGAAATTCAAACCTTACGTATTTAATAAATGCTAACAAATCAAACTGTATTTTTTTCTTTTTTTGCTTTTAGAAGGATTCGCTCAAAAGAAATGTTTCCTACTGTTTTAATGCAAATAAAATGAAACCATTCAATGTTGGTCTGAGGAAGCGTTCATGCAGTAACTGTTGCTGTATAAACAAGAGAACACTGTAACAAGATCCTTTAACAAAACATTTTTTACGTCTTGTTTTTTCTTCAAAATCCCACACAGAAAACTTTATTTCTGAACGTTTATACATATATATACATAGCAGAGTCGACCGTTTAGTTGTCTGTCACGAGTTGTTGTAAGGAAGTGACCGAATCAGTTCGACGAAAGTTTGTGGACTTTCTCTCCCAACGAAAGATCAAGTGTAAATGGACTGTGGACTTTCTCTCCCAACGAAAGATCAAGTGTAAATGGACGAAGATTCGATGTTGGCAATCGCTGGAATTTTACTAAAAATTCAATTTTAATCGATCAAAATTTTGATGTTACTTTAAAACTTCAAAACTGTAACTTTAATGTAAACACTGTGAGGGTAAAAACTGTAGTTTTAATGTAAACAATTCGACTGTTGTCCTGTGCTTCATTCTGTTGTCAACTGTTAACAGAAATCTTGAGTATTATTCCTCCATCAACACATCTATTGTCCAGTGTTTCATTCTGTTGTCAACTGTTAACAGAAATATTGAGTTTTATTTCCCCATCAATACATCTATTGTCCAGTGTTTCATTCTGTTGTCAACTGTTAACAGAAATCTTGAGTTTTATTCCTCCATCAACACATCTATTGTCCAGTGTTTCATTCTATTGTCAACCGTTAACAGAAATATTGAGTTTTATTTCCCCATCAATACATCTATTGTCTAGTGTTTCATTCTGTTGTCAACTATTAACAGAAATCTTCAGTATTATTCACCCATCAACATATCTATTGTCAAGTGTATTATTCTGTTGTCAACTGTTAACAATAGTTTTAAATATTATTCCTACATCATATAATTTACAATTCAGTATGGGTGAGCATGTCGGGCATTGAATCCGACGATTCGTGGTCCGCGTCCTGTTGCCGCAAAATCACGCTCCGCAATCTAAGACCTTCTATGTGCTATAAAAGTGACAGTCACATCCTACTATTAAATATGGCTAGCCAAAATTGGCGGTAAGTTGACTAACTGCTATGTTCCCTCTAGGCTATCAGTTAAAATTTAGGGTCAGGTAGAGCAGATAGCCCTTCTTTAGCTTTTTGCAAATAATTCGAAACAAACAAACAAACAAATCTATTGAGCGTTTCATTCAATTTAAAAAAAAAAAACTTAAATATTACCCCTCAGGATATGTGTTAGCCAATATTATATTCTGATGTCAATGATAACAGGAGGATTACATGTTATTATTCTATTTTCAACACATTTGTTGCCTATATTATATTCTGATGTCAATGATAACAGGAAGATTACATGTTATTATTCTATTTTCAACACATTTGTTGCCTATTGTTTAATTCTATTCTTAACTGTGAACAGAAATATCACTGCTTGATTTGTCATGTTCTCATAATAAATTAAAGTGTTATTTTTTAATGTTTTCATGATATTTATTATGACCAGTTTTAATGGAACATTTGAAGTAGTTACATTCGCAACCGATAGGGGAACACACTAACTTTTGAGAACCAACACTTGTAAGAAACAATTATTGTGTCATGCCCTGTCTGTTACTTACAAAAAAAAAAAAAGAGAAAATAGAAAGATGAATACGTTAATCTGGTCGAACCACAATATCGACTCTTTGCTTCACAATAGGACAAAACGGCTATCAAGCGCCTCTATTTAAAATTCAGTAATTTTTCCCCTGCGGCGATATTTTGTCTCGCTATTATCATGGTAATCACTGCACGAGATGTAGACACGAGTCGAGCACGTGAAACTGGTAATGATGTTATATGTTTAAAGAACTTAACAATCTGAGGCAGCTTTATTTTTTAATTTTTCATAGAAAAGCCAAATACAAAAGACATTTCAGGAAGCAATATTGAATATTCGTCGCGTAGTGCGATAATTATAATGAAAAATTAATACAAAGTCAACATAATTTCATATAAAAAATACACAACCGGAAGTGACTTCACGTTTTGGAAACTCGTAATTATACCGGAAATGTCGTCACTTATGATGTCATTCAAAAGCCAACAGTATAATCGAGAAATATAGTTAGAGAAAACGACTGATATCGTATTTTTCCGGTTGTTATTGTCTTTCTTTTCTTTTCTTTACTTTCGTCATTGATGAAATGATTATAAACATCTTAAATATTATAAATAGTTATATATTTTATACATAAGAAGTTCACTATTAGCTAGGGTATTTATAAATTACAAATCATCAATAATTGCTCCAATCACTGATCAGAATAATTAAAAAATGAAGGTCAGTGAAAAATAAATAAATATTAGTGAATACTGTTGCTTTTGCATGCTATTTTTTTTAGTTAAAAAAATATATTATTAATTAAAACCGCTCAATAAACCAAGACAATCAAACGAAACTTGAAAAATACTTGTTATTAAATAAAAGATCATAAATTATTTGAAACTATTCAACAAATTAAGACAATCAAATGAAGCTAGGAAGAAAATTGTTATTAAACTCAATATAATAAATTATTTGGAACTATTCAACAAATCAAGACAATCAAACCAAACTAAGAAGACACTTGTTATTAAACTCAAGATAATAAATTATTTGGAACTATTCAACAAATCAAGACAATCAAACCAAACTAAGAAGACACTTGTTATTAAACT